CCTTTAGTCTCTTTCGCAGCTGAATCTCTTCTGAAAAGAAGTCAGAATCTGGAAAAGAAGAAATGACACAGAGTGAACAACAACAAAAAATGTTCTTCATTTATGGCCCGATGACCATGAAGATAGCACAAACCTTTTGCTGTCCAAGTGTGCAATTACTGTATCAAATGAAGCATGTTGCATAAATTCAGGCTAAAAATTATAATATAAAGTCCACCCACTTAATGATCCTCACTTTCCATTCAGATCTTTGGTCTCCCACCCTCACTTTCCTAATATATACATATTTCTAATATGAGATGGGCTGACTCACAGGACCAGGCCACATGCAATTTCATTTCTGATGATGATACATTCACTTCCACCTTTGTACAGAGCCTCAGAGAGTTGATGGAAGTCATGGGAAGTAAAACTGAAGGCTTAACATAAACTATAATGTATGTAACATTTTAAAAGGTTCTTTTAACACAGAGAGAGTCTGGTCACAATTTGCCACATTTTCACTTCCTTTGGTTGTTGCGAGACTATGCCACCCCACCTGCTGCCAGTGACATACTTCACAGGTGCCCCTCCCCCAGTCCAGTAAAGTGGTGTTAGATGAGTGGGCTGTGAGGAGTTTCCCTTCTGAAACCCTGATGCCCCTGACAGCAGTGCCCACACCTCCGTGGCTTCCTTGGCCAGAGAACAATCCTGGCATATGGAGCAAATGGGTCTGGTATGCTGATGTCTGACACATGTGTGGGTAGGATTGACCCAAAATACCTTACCTTCTGCCGGTGAGGGGCTCCAGGCTGCTCCCCTGGATTGTGCCAGGCACGTCATACAGGGGACGCTCTAGCATTTGCCCAAAAACTCTATGGTTATCATAGAGTTTTTAGCCAAATGCTAGAGTGTCCTCCACGTGATGTGCCCAGTGCGATGACATCATCTCTGGGTGACATCATTGTGCCAGGCATGTCAGATGCAGTGGGGCTCTTTGGGGGTGGGGCTCCCCCCACTGGCCAGCAGTGGATCGGGCCCCCCAAAGTCTGGGAAAACCCTGCCCCCATTGGGGTGTCTGTGTGTCAACCCTATGTGTGGGAGTTGCCTACCACTGTACGAAGAGCTGAATGGCAAAGCAAAAAGCAATCTACAGTGCAAATCTAAGCAGAGCTACACCCTTCTCAACCCACTGACTTCTGTGGACTTAGAAGGATGCAGCAATCCTAAGCAGGTCTGCTCAAAATCTTCCCTGGATCTATTCAGTGGGACTTACTCTTGGGAAAGTGTTCTTGGAATTGAACTATTAGTGACTTTGATTGGAGCAAGGTTATAGAATCATAGAATGTTATAGTTGGAAGGGACCTTGCAGGTCATCTAGTTCAACCCCCTGAACTCTGCAGGAGCATAGCTGAAAGATAGCCCTACATACCTACAACATACCCGAAAGATTGTCGTCCAGCCTCTGCTTGAAAACATCCAGTGAAGGAGCATCCATCACCTCCCGAGGCAGTCTGTTCCACTGCTCAACCACTCTGTCAGGAAGTCTCTCCTGCTCTTTAGCCGGTAACGACTCCATTGTAATTTCCACCCATTAGACCTAGTCTTGCAATCTGGAGCAAGAGAGGATAGATCTGCTCCATCTTCTACATGACAGCCCTTCCGATACTTGAAAACTGCAATCTTTCCCAGGCTAAACATACCCAACTCTTTCAGCTTTTCCTCATAAGACTTGGATTCCAAACCTCTCACCATCCTGGTTGCCCTCGAGCTTGTCAACATCCTTCCTAAAATGTGGTGCCCAAAACTGGACACAGTACTCCAGGTGAGGCCTGACCATAGCATTCCTGAAGGCTGATTCGTTGGTGCCAAAAGCATGTTTTCCACCATGCACACGTAGAGCAGAAAGCCATGCCCATCCCAGCTCACTGAAGTGGGTTTCACTCTAATATGTGTGATTGCAACACTTGTGCTTATTGCATGCATACATTACATTTTTATGTCTACATAACAGCCAGGATCACCACCAGGTTGTGTCCTGGAAAACAAGCCACAGTGCTGCAGCTCGCAACCACTTTTGTAACTGTATGTTTGGTGGGCCAAATCTTATTGGGGTTTTCACCTATTTACTTCCGCCGCAAGACTATTTTCTGATATTTTGGACGGTCATAAATGTTGTTGCTGCTGCAGGTAGGAGGAAAAAGGGCAAGGCTGTGAACCCAGAATCTGAAGCCCTGACCTGTGCTTATCTTCTAGCTGAGTACAGACTTCCTCTTGGGCCTCATCAGCCAAATCGGAATGAAGCTTCCCCGCAAATGAGCTGAGGCTGTGGAGGGATTGTGCTGCAACCAAAGTATATAAAACTGAGTGCATGCCTCCCCGGGGCCCCCCTCCCCCCTCCCACAACTGGCAACCACTTTGCTAGTACAAGGCAAGGGGCCCAGTGCTTATGGATGCCACGTTTATGAAGGGTCAGCATTAGACACTTGGCAGTCCTGTGTCTAGGTGAAGTCATCCACTCCATGTTTTATGGATTCCAAGACCCAACTTCCCAGGTTAGTACATATTTTCAGCTTTACAAGCCATTTCATTAACATCCATACTCTGATCAGATCCAGACTGGATTACTTCAATCTGAGCGACATAGGAATGCCTTCAAATCAGAGGTCATTTCGGGGGGGAATCGCGGGAGATCACAGTTCCCCCGGGTGAGGTACGGAGGCGGGGCACATGACGAAGCCCCGCCCCCTGCTTCCGGCCCTCAATCAGCCAGGAGGAGGCAGGAGAAGAGGGAGGATAAGTTGCTTCCTCCCTGCCTCTCCCCACCCCTGCCTGCCTGCCTGGGGCCAGGGAGGGCCTTCGCGGGGCTTCCTCGCACTCCCGCCGGCCTTGCAGGTCCACCGCTGGGCCCCTCATGGTGGTCATGTCAGGGGGTGTGGCCTCATGACACACTTCCAGTGATGTCAGGGGGTGTGGCATATGCTAATGAGTTATGCTAATGAGTTCCCCTAGCTCTTTTTCTACGAAACGAGCCCTGCTTCAAATACTGCTGGAAAGCTTCGGCTGATAGAGAACCCTGCAGCGAGGTGGCTGATGGGCTCACACCTCCCTGGCCCTGAAAGAGCTGGGATCAGTCCAGAGTGTCGGCGGCCTCCCTTGCTCCCTCCCACATCCACACCTTCCTGCTACCAACCAGGGCCTTCCACTTGGTCCTTCCCCAGGGCTGGTAGCTCTCCGGGTTGGGGAGATCCCAGGAATTGGTTGGTGGAGCCCTGCGTGGGGGGGGCAGTGGGGTTTGGGGAGTGGAGGGACCCCAGCAGGGTACGACACCACCCTCCAAAGCAGCAGTTTTCTCCAGGGAATCAGAGTTGTCTAGTCCAGGTTAGGAGCCCCCCTGGAGTTTGGGGTTGGGGAAGAGAAGGACATCAGCTAGGGTTGGTAGCTCTGGGTTGGGAAATACCTGGAGATTTTTTTTGGGGGGGGTTGGAGCCTGGGGAGGGGCCTCAGCAGGGTATCATGCCATAAAGGCCACCTTCTGAAGAGGCCATTTTCTCCAGGGAAACTGATGTCTGTTGCCTAATCCCAAGAAATCTCCAACCACCCCCTGGAGGTTGGCAGTCCTAACCTCAGCCATGGAGTCCACCCTCCTAAGCGGCCATTTTCTCCTGGGGAACAGAACCTGTGTATATATTGTAAGTCTGGGAAATCACCAGGCTCCACCTGGAGACTGGCAACCTGGTCCTTCATTTGTCTCTACATTCAGAGATGAGTGGGTGTCTACTTTAATTTTTGTTGGGTGGATGTTTCTTAGATATTCTTGTTCTTCCCCCTCTCCTACTCCTGATCTATTTGGTTATATTTCGTCCTGCAGGGCTATTCTTTATACTGTCTTTATCAATAAGGAGTCTTAAGTGGGTTTGGGCAGGTATATTGCTTTATTTACATTTGTTATCCATGTTGGAAGGTACAGGTTGGATCCCCAGACTTTCCATGCATGAAAAGGGTGGCAACATATGACTGATTTCCTCCTCCTACTGCAGACCTTCAACCCTCTAGTCTTCACAGGTTTTCCGGGGATCTCGTGTCCCCACAAGCAGCATTCGGGGGACATTTTGGGCTTCCCTGGAAGGGGGAGAGTGTGGAAAGTCCACCCTGCTGACGGAGATCCACTTCATTAGGGAAACAGGTCTGCAGAATCTGAGTATATAACTGATAGGGCGGGATAGAATTTTTAAATAAATGTTCTTAATGTCAGACCTCAGTACTATAACCCTAACCATAGATCAACATGCATAAGAGGAACCCAGGGCAGAAATGAAGACACTTTGTTCACAATTATCCATTCCTTACCTATCATTATTCTTCTGATCATCATCTTACAACTCTATGTTATGAAGCACCAAAACTGACCACTGCAAAGGAGAAGTACACAACCATGAAGTACAACAACCTTTCTACATTCTGTGGTTCATTATTCTGAGCCAAACGGGCTTATTTTTCAATGCAGCCATTTAGTTTTGCAATGATGTGGTGGCTACCAATAAACGTTAATGAATAGACCACCAGGACAGCAAATCCCCTTGGCCATTTGAATGGGGGGTTCAAGTTGAAATGGGCTGAGAATGAGCACAGAGTGTGGGGCCATGTAAACATTTGTGTCTGGAGTTGTCTGGAAAAACTAGTACTTCTAGAGAGATGTTTGTGTGTTACTGTTGCTTTGGGATCAGTGTTCTTACATTTGTAACACCACTTGCTTCCGTATTCTCAGCCTACAAATAAATAGATTATTGCAAATATCCCATAAATTTGTGTGCCTCTCTGGCAAAAGTTCATTGACTGTGTAACAGTCAACCCTAAAGTCTCACCCGTTAGTGGAAGGGGGAAGTGAAAACAATACATTCATTGTCCATTTCAGTTTCCAGACTTAGCATAAAAAGGAGGAAGTCTCTAATGGGTTACTAGCAGACTGAAGCATTTTTACACCACTCAGATGCTTGTTCATCCTCAACACTGTTCCAGCCATGAGTAACTTCACGGGGATCCTTCTCTTCTTCACTCTCATACTCTGGGCACAGGAGCCGAGCACGAGGGGTCCTTCTGCTGTTGGTTTCCAGGAATGCAGGCAAACCCTAAAAGTCCCTGCTCTGGAGGTTCTTCCTGGAGGTGGCTGGGATAACTTGAGAAACCTGGACATGGTGAGAGTGATTAACCTGAACTGTTCATTGTGCAGAACTACTGAAGATGGGGCTTACTTAATTCCCAATGAGGTCTTCACCATCGCCCGCAAACCAAGTTATCTGAAGTTTAACTCTGAGATCGAGTCTTGGATGGATTGCCAGACTGCCACCTCTGCTCCCATCGATTACAGAGCTGTCATCTTCCTTTATCAGTGGCAAGTTCTCCAGTGACTTCCACGGGATGAAAACTCACCAAGTGAGAGATCAGGCGGTAACTACCAGGGTTCAGGTCAGAAATCTGGTTTACACTGTAAAATCTGACCCTGCAACAATGTTAGATGAAGGCTTCCAGTGGCAGGTTATTAACATTGCTAGCCATAAGGAGAACAACCAGACTTGAATGGCTGACTACTTAGCAGAAATCTTGATGCTGAACTATGGCACACATGTCATCACTAATGTGGATGCTGGTGCCAGCCTTGTCAAGGAGGATCAAATCAAATCCACCTTTCTGAAAGACAGCTGGTCCATGCAAAGTTCTATCACAGCTGCAGCTGGGGTCTCTTTTCGTGATGTTGTTGACTTCAATAGCGGTATTGCAGCCAGCACGGACGGTTTTTTCACCAAGCAGTACCAAACCAACTGCACCAACTCCAAGGTGGAGAGCATTGGGGGACTGCCTTTTTATCCGGGGATTACCCTGAAAACTTGGCAAGAGAGCATCACCAACCAGCTGGTAGCAATTGACCGTTCAGGTTTGCCTTTGCGATTTTTCATCACTCCAAACCACCTGCTAGGATTGCCCAGCCCCATAGTGAAGAGATTGTCCTGCACTGTGAAGTCTGCCATCTCTCACCATTACACCTTCAATACTTACCCTGGCTGCACAAATGCAGCCTCACCAAACTTTAACTTCCATGCCAACACTGATGAAGCAATTTCTCCTTTGGAGGTGCCTATCAGGACTGTGTTCAACTAGAGGGTCCTGATGCTACTGTGGCCTGCCAAAGTCTGAAACAGAGGAACCCACTCACTGGAGCACTCTCCTGCCCTGTGGGATATGCCCCAGTAAGACTGAGCTCCCAGCAATGTGCAGGAGGGTTTAGCCACTTTTAGACTGCCACAAGGACTGCCTTGTCTGGAAGATATTCTGCAAGGTGGTTTGCAAGGATGTTTTCACAGCCTCCAAAGTGCAATTTAGTGCATACTGGTGTGCAGCAAGAGGCCAGGTGCCTGAAAACACCAGATACCTCTTTGGGGGGCTCTTTAGTGCCAAGACCACCAACCCCATGACTAATGCCCAGTCCTGTCCTTCCAGTTTCTTCCAGCTCAAGCTTTTTGACCAGCTCAGAATCTGTGTGAGCAGAGATGAAAGAGGGCAGAGGTATTCGGTGCCCTTTGGAGGGTTCTTTAGCTGCCAGGTGGGAAACCCTTTGGTGGGATCCTACAATGGAACCGATAGTGACCCATACCCCAAGAGGTGCCCAGCTGGATTTCGTCGGCACCTGGCCACGATCACTGATGGATGCCAAGTGGAATACTGTGTCAAAGCAGGACTCTTCGCAGAAGGGCCACTGCCCCAGGTCAGGCTCCCACCGGTCACTCGCAAGCCTTCTGCAGGTCTGACTGCTACTGACACTGTCCTGGTGGCAATCGGACCTGGGTTGAGGATTCCCAGAGCAAATGGAGGACAAGTAGCTGGAGGAACGGGAAAGGCAAACAGTTTAGTGGGAGTGATACCATGAATTATGCTATATGCTAACATGCTTTCCATAGGCTTCTCCCTTTCCTCAACCCAAAGCCGGCACAATCAGTCACAGCCATGGACTTCCTCTTGCTCCTCTTCCAGAATTGTTTTCAGTGAACAGATGTAAGAGCGGGGGCAACAGCACTTTTATGCACTTCCTTTTGTATCCACTATAAGCATATTGCATGAAACTTTTGCAAAGGATTTAGGATAGGATTATGCCGGGCAGATGCGAGGGGACTGTCGCCGGCCTCAGCCCAAGGCCTGGCAGAACATCTCTGCCTCGCAGGCCCTGTGGAACTTTAGCAGATCGGGCAGGGCCCGGATGGCGTCTGGCAGAGAATGCCACCCGGCTGGGGCCAAGGCTGAGAAGGCCCTGGCCCTGGTCGAGGCCAGCCGGACATCTTTGGGGCCGGGAATCACCAGGAGGTTCTTGTCTGCTGATCTCAAAGCCCTTCGGGGGACATATCGGGGGAGGTGGTCCCGAAGATGCGTAGGTCCCTGACCGTTAAGGGCTTTAAAGGTAAGCACCAAAACCTTGAGTCTGATCCAGTGCTCCACTGGCGAGATCACAGATTGTGGAGATCACAGAGATTTCTATGGGCAATGCTGTTCATACAGGGGAAGGGAGTTTTTTCCTGCATGCTCTCTGGATACTTTGTTAGGAATTCTGATTTTCAAGAACAACCTCCAGCCACTGTGCAGGATTCCTGCGCGCGGGGGGGGGGGGGGGGAGATACCTTGACACCAGTACAAAAGCATCTATATTAAGATGTTTCTGCACCCTTGACTTTTCAAGCTGACACATAGTTTGACTAATCCCAGAATAATTGCAATGTGGCAGAAACGACCTCCTGTAAAACTGGACTGAAACTGCGTAGGGTTATTCTGCATTGACATTGCTCCTTTAATAGCACCGACACTGCAGAAACAGATACACGCAGGACAGAGCATACAGCACAGACCACCACCCACGGCTGCCTCTAAAATTCTGCTGCCTTGTAGTCGCCTTCTTAGAGGGCAGATCTACGTGGCTTTAGCAAGTTAGCTCTTGAACTATCACAAGACTGCAGATTAGACAGTCTACACAAAAGGCTCTCTGTTTTTAAGGGAAGAGGGGGATTCCCTCCAGTGCTCAAGTATGCCGTTTAGATATGTCCAACAGCCCTGGTGAGCAACTAGTTTGCCTTGAGAGCTGCTTGGAATTGGCGGATAGTATTTGGAAGCCCTATGCTACACGCTCAAAATTATCTGCCACTGCCACAAATTATGCTACTCCATACTCTTCTTTTGCCTTTGTGGATTACCACAAAGAAGAGTATGGAGTAGCATAATTTGTGGCAGTGGCAGATAATTTTGAGCGTGTAGCATAGGGCTTCCAAATACTATCGGGGGAGGCTGGGATACAAATCTGCACTCAGGGGCGCATCCAATGGCCATCAGTTGATGATCCTTACTTTTGTTGAAATCCCAAAGAAGGATGGCCTCTCTTGCATTCTACTTCTGGTTAAATGCCTTTAGCTTTAGATGACCTTTTCCAACCCTTGGCAATTACAGCCTTGGGGTGGGGAAAAGCACCTCTACTGCCCTAAGAAACAAAACTACTCTGCTGCCCAGCTGTCTGTCCCCAGTGAGATGCACTTGTGGCATAGCTTTTTGAGCTACACTTTAAAGAACAGCTAGATCAAGCAACTATGCATGGGCACGTCTCTACTGGTCCCCATACAAGTTGGGCAATGTGAAGCTGGAACATTGTTTATCAGCAATGCTGTGCAGATTTTCTTTCCTCTATAATAATCCAAAGACCAAGTTTGCTTAGAATAGAGGGCTTAGCTGACCTTTGAAAAACCACGTGAAGCTATTCAGCCAGAAGAGAAAGAGAAGAGAAAGCATGCTTACTGTCACATGTGCACTGAGCCCTTAGGCTTAAATGATAAACACATCTAAAAGAGAATTCAAAGTAACTCAAAGGTTCAGCCCTTGTTTAGTCATACATAGATTCATAAAGGAGTTTCAAGGGCTTTTATCTTTGAACAAGTTGTCTCCCCGCCCCAGAACCCATCACACAAGTGCATCTTTGAACACATAAGGCTGACTACCAACCTCCCCTAGCGCAGTAAACACAAATTTGTTCTACCAAGAATACATACTCTATGTTCAGTCACCAATCTATGCTCCATAATGGGAATGCAGATCCTTATGGGATCCAGGAACATGGATTTTTCCATAGCATGTCAGTGAGTTAACCAGCAGTTTGTCTATAAATTATAGCAGGTTTATTTACAAAGACTTGCGTTTTCAGTTTTATTTGATCCAGCAAAGGCAATTGCATATATGACAATGCATTAAAATATACTCCAAATGCAAAAAATATAGATATTGTGCTCTTTTAAAAATATAAAATCCAACATGTTTGATGGAATAAACAGTGTTTTTGCATAAATGAGCTTTGAGAGAAGAGCCTTACCCAAGCTTTCCTTTTAAGCGCCCAGTTATACATTTTCTTGCTTTATTGCTTATTGCTCCATGCTGATGGAAGATCATATTTTAAAAACAAACAACTCAGATTTCCTGAAGGACATAAGAAGTAGAGACCCAGAGCTCATTGCAAAGAAGAATGGAAACCTACACACATCTTGAAAGTCAGTGGAAACAAGTTTCTGCAACTAAAACCATAGCCAGTGCTTTCTGTGTGTTCTGCACCAAAATATTGCTGGATTGTGCACCACGGAAATCCAGAATATGTTTACATGTTTTATCCTAATTAGCCTCTATTGCCATAAGTTATGTTGTTGCAAAACGTGGAATTCTTTGGCAAGAAAGGGTGGTGGTCGTGACAGAACAGGAGGGTGGGGAGCCAGAACTCCAGAAGGGACAGGGAACAAAAACTATACAAGAGGAACACAAAACAGCCCACAGCAGAGAAGTTTCACTTTTTAATCCTTTGAAGCTCAGACCAGTCTCACTGCCCTGTAGTTCCATCTTCATCTGGACACTCACAGAGGCAGAGACTAAAAATGTGCTTCGAAAACAGAATATTAAAGCTGAGACAAGTTAGAAAACTGTAACCCAGGAGGCATATTTTGTGCTTGCCCAGGAAGCAATGGACAAATGCAACAGATGTGACCCCAACTGTAGGCTCTGATAAATAACAGACTGCAGGAACAATTTGTTCTCTGCCACTGCCAAAGGGAGACTTGGGGTTACCAATTCTTGCTCTGACAGGCAGCCATCCAGCAAAGCTCTACTTCATGCAGCGCCCCCAACAGGGAGAAAGACGTATGTTAAAATTCCATGCAGTTGTGTTAATGCCACAAAGTCTCTGTCAGGAGAAAAGGCCCAGAAGGCTGCAATTCTAAACAGATGCCAATGTGGGTTGAGAGCAGGGTTGCGAGCCTCCAGGTGGGGCGTGGAGATCTCCCGGAACTAGTAAAACTTCTCTTCAGACACCAGGGGGCTGTTCCCCTGGAGAAAACAGCGGCTCTGGAGGGTGGACCTTCTGCGGCATTATTATCCCCAGATGAGGGGTCTCTTCCCCCACCAGGCGCCACCCCCAAATCTCCAGGAATTCCCGGAGTTGGCAAACGTAGAGAAGAGGTTTAGCAAGATGATCCTACTTTGTTTCTTCAAATTCTCTCCTGCCCCTCTGACATAAATGCAGAAAAATCTGAACGTGCTTGAAGTGTCAGAGTTTAAATCTGTTGCTGTTTCTAAGGATCTCCTTAAACCCAGCCTGTGCAACTGGGGAGAATGGCTTTCCTGTCAGCCTGTTATTTATCTCAAGGTCGATCTTAGCTTTGTTGCAGCTGAAACAATGCCTCCTTGTGGCTGCTTGAGGGCCGATGTTCTCCCAGCTAAATAAATTGTACACATTCAACCTGCTCAGGAAACAAGAACAACAAACAAAAGACAGACACGCAGACACAGAATACACAGACACAAAAAGCATTCTGCAAACTGGCAGTGGAGTTTTCCTTTTATTGTTACACCTCAAGGGTGCCATCCTTACTTAATGCAACAAACTAGAGACGGGCAAAAAGCACCGTTCACAAACAACAAACAAATAATAAACCACGTGGCTCCTTCCCCCATGCCCTCCCCCCAAGTACCACCACCAGCCCCCTCATCACCTTCTCTGGGCCATGAGAAGACAAAGAGGAACAGACCCTTCCCATCGCCCCCAAGGACAGCATCCCATCAGGCGGGCCATTCTCTATGAAGTACAAAATTCCTGTCAGTTGGAAAGTTAAAGGAGGAAATAAATCAGCCCAAACAAAGGCAAATAAAAGGCAAATTGACTCCCTTCACCTGGGAGCTGACGGTGCCTGGGAAGTGACCCTCCAAAACTGCTCCCCTGTCCTAGAGGCTAAGTCACATTTGAGGTTTATCTGAGAAACAGGATTAGACTAAAACATTTAAGCTGTGGAGACGGGTTCCCCAAAGGAATTTCTTCTCTGTTAAGATGACCTCGTAACCATATTTAATCTAGTGAGGGAAGATACTTGTGACTGGAGATCTGGACAGGGAAAGA